TGTTGCCATCATCATTCTCAAAACATTTGCTTTCTACTTGAGCCCTTGGTATCAGCTCCTCATTTTTCCCCTCCCTCCCTCATGAACCCTTGATAATTTATAAATTATTATTTTGTCATAAGTTGGACTTTTATCAGAAACATTGCATCAGCCTGTGCTTAGCCGCCTTCTCCCTCTCTCTTGTTCACACTTGCACACACAGACACAGACAGACACACACACACACACTGACAAAGTTGGGGGATGGGTTAGTGTTATGGCTGGAAGGACCCGAAGGTGAGAAAGCCATAGCTGTGGCTGGAATTCCAAACAACTGTGTCCAATCTAGGAGCCTTGGTGGCATAGGGGGTTATGTGTTGAACAGCAAGTCAGCTGTTCAAATCCTCTGGTTACTCTGTAGAAGAAAGATGAGGCTTTCTGCTCCTATAAAGATTTAGAGCCTCAGAAACCCAAAGAAGCAGTTCTCTGTCCTGTAGGGTTCCTATGAGTCAGAATCAGCTGGAAGGCAGTGGGTGGGTTTGGGTGTTCGATCTGATAACTTTATCTCTTCTCTCACATGCACTAGTCTCTTCTCCTGGGAACCCCAAGCTAGAGGAGATAGCCTCCCATAGGTACCAGGTCCCAACCAGATGATGACACAAGTGGGAATACTTGGAACACAGGCTCCTTTACAGCACACAGGTTCACACACAGGACATAGGTACATCCCCAGCACACAGGTACATACAGCATTGGTGCCCCTACCATGCACAGGTATATACAGCACAGACACACTTGCCCTATACATGGCACACAGTCACAAGGGCACCCAATTTGGTGCATGTACACTTTCAAGTTCACAGACACACTTGGGTCTAGATGTTGACAGAACCATCACAAGGAGGAGTAGACCCATGTTTTTCTGCCCCATCCATCTATCCATCCATCCATCCATCCATCCATCTATCCATCCATCCATCCACCTATTTTTGTCTCTCCATCAGTCCATTCTTTCATCACTGATATTTTTATCATCTATGTTCCATATCTTTATCTCCACTTATTCATCCATATGATCAACCATTGTCCATCTGTAATTGTATCCTTTTATTTGTTTATTTGTTCATCTATCACTGAGGGTGCTGCCTAACATTGGTTGATACTTATGTGCCAGGCACAAGATGGATTGATACAGTGGCTGCAACAATAGGCTCAAACATAAGAACAATGGTGAGGATGATGGAGGACCAGGCAGTGTTGCATCCTGTTGAGCATAGGGTTACTATGAGTCAGAGGTGACTTGATGGCACCTAGCAACAACGTGCCAGGCTCATGTTAAATGTTTTACATTCATTACCTCATGACAACTAAACTCACTGCCATCCAGTCATTGCTGACTCACTGCACCCCCTGTGGGTTTCTGAGACTAACTCTTTATGGGAGTAGAAAGCCCAGTCTTTCTCTGAGGAGCTGCTGGTGGTTTTGAACTGCTGACCATGAGGATCGCAGCCCAACCTGTAACTGCTACACTACCATGGTTCTCCTCATGACAACTAGATGAAACCCACTTTCGTGGGTTGTGTTTTTGATTGTGCAGACCACTTTCCAACACTCCATTTTGTTGTTCCCTTGGGAAAGTCCTTTACCAGTCTACGTGGTCTTGGTGAGGCTGTCAACCACAGTGCCAGGACCACAGCAGCCCATTGCCCTGGCCACCGTGACCACTCGAAGAACTATCAATCTATCCCAAGCACGTCTCAAGCACCGTCAACCAAAGCCTTTCCTGATATTTGATGGTTTGGCTGCTGGGAGAAAGCGGAACCCTCTTTCAGCTTCCTAATGATAAACATTTAGAGCCGAGGCCTCCCATGGTGATTTTTCATGCTACCGGAGAGTACTTGTCTGTGACAGGAGGGGCTGAGACCACAAAAAGAATCACCATGAAGTAAGTTAAGAGATGGAGAGCATGTACATCTCTTTATCCAGTCAGACTCGGAGCAAATGAAAGGTTCTCATCAGTAACTCGAATGATCTGATGTGACAAATTTAATTTTCTTGCTGCAGTTACTTTGCATTGAGTTTTTGTTATTTGTAATGGAAAGACTCCGTAAGACAAATTATTGTGTTATTATTCTGTAGTAAATGGCATAGGGGACATATCTGACCTCTTCTGGCTTCCCTATTGCCACGAGGCAGGGGTCAGACATGCCTTTACCCTCCATCCTTCTTAATTCTGACACCAGCCATTTCTCCATATGCTGGATTCAATAATTTGTTGCAATGGTCACACAAGAGTTTTGAGCAGGTTTATTGGGGAAGTTACCACAAGGCAGGACCAGCAAGCAGTAAGGATATAGTCATTGGCTCACAGTAATACTTCTTAGTCAGCAGCTAAGTCTCTCTCAGTTCTCAGCCTCTCAGCCAGGTGGTCCCTTGGCCTCCATGGGCTAGGAAGCGAGCCTGCCTATTGCTCTGACAGTCCCATAGTCAGATGAGGAGATGGTACCCCACAGTCTTATCACTGCTCCTCAGAGTCTCCAAGCCACAGTCTCTGGTGCATCTGGTCTTGGTGGCTTCTGCCACTTCAGACAGAGATCTCGAACATGCTCCTCCAATGGTCCTGTGTTCTATACACCAAAGA